TCATGACTTTTTAGTATTTCATGCAATCTTAACAGATAGCCTTACAAGTACTTCCAGTGTCCCTAGCCGTCCCTCCTTTTTATATAACTCCATGACATTTATAATCTCGCGAAACTTAACAGGTAGCATAACAGATTAAAAGCAGATGAGGTTTTGAACCAAAATTTCTAAGCAACGTTGTCAAGGATTTTGAGGAACTAGGGACAGAGTGTGGCAAAGTCCAAGATTTAATTTATCTTCATCTGTTTCATCAGCTATCTCATCTAATATGCCAATATTTTATTCATAACTCGTGGCAAACTCACTAACTTTCGTTATGTTCATCTGCATGCTTCATCTGATAGAAAGTATGACTTTCATTAACTCTGTGAGATAATGAAAACTACTAGGGACAGAGACCATGGTAAAGTTTATGACTTTCATTATTTCCAGAACTTAATGAAAACTACTAGGGACAGAGACCATGGCAAAGTTCATGATTTCATCGTTTATGATTTGTCATGATTTCATCGTGAATGCTTTTGTCAAGATTTCATCGTTTATGATTTGTCAAGATTTCATCGTGAATGATTTGTCATGATTTCATCGTGAATGATTTGTCATGATTTCATCGTGAATGCTTTGTCAAGACTTTGTCATGACTTCTTCGTAAATGCTTTTGTCATGACTTTGTCAAGATTTCATCGTGAATGCTTTTGTCATGACTTCTTCATCGTGAATGCTTTGTCAAGACTTTGTCAAGATTTCATCGTTTATGATTTGTCAAGATTTCATCGTGAATGCTTTGTCAAGACTTTGTCATGATTTCATCGTAATGAACGTAAATGCTTTTGTCATGATTTCATCGTTTATTGATTTGTCATGATTTCATCGTAATGAACGTGAATGCTTTTGTCAAGATTTCATCGTGAATGAACGTAAATGCTTTTGTCAAGATTTCATCGTGAATGAACGTAAATGCTTTTGTCATGATTTCATCGTAATGAACGTAAATGCTTTTGTCATGACTTTTCAAGATTTCATCGTGAATGAATCGTCTTCAAATGCTTTGTCAGACTTTGTCAAGATTTCATCGTGAATGCTTTGTCAAGATTTCATCGTGAATGCTTTGTCAAGACTTTGTCAAGATTTCATCGTTATGATTTGTCAAGATTTCATCGTGAATGCTTTGTCAAGACTTTGTCATGATTTCATCGTGAATGAACGTGAATGCTTTTGTCATGATTTCATCGTTTATGATTTGTCATGATTTCATCGTAATGAACGTGAATGCTTTTGTCATGATTTCATCGTAATGAACGTGAATGCTTTTGTCATGATTTCATCGTAATGAACGTAAATGCTTTTGTCAAGATTTCATCGTGAATGAACGTAAATGCTTTTGTCATGATTTCATCGTAATGAACGTAAATGCTTTTGTCATGACTTTGTCAAGATTTCATCGTGAATGCTTTTGTCATGACTTCTTCATCGTGAATGCTTTGTCAAGACTTTGTCAAGATTTCATCGTTTATGATTTGTCAAGATTTCATCGTGAATGCTTTGTCAAGACTTTGTCATGATTTCATCGTAATGAACGTAAATGCTTTTGTCATGATTTCATCGTTTATGATTTGTCATGATTTCATCGTAATGAACGTGAATGCTTTTGTCATGATTTCATCGTAATGAACGTAAATGCTTTTGTCAAGATTTCATCGTGAATGAACGTAAATGCTTTTGTCAAGATTTCATCGTGAATGAACGTAAATGCTTTTGTCAAGATTTCATCGTTTATGATTTGTCAAGATTTCATCGTTTATGATTTGTCATGATTTCATCGTGAATGAACGTAAATGCTTTTGTCAAGATTTCATCGTTTATGATTTGTCATGATTTCATCGTAATGAACGTGAATGCTTTTGTCATGATTTCATCGTAATGAACGTAAATGCTTTTGTCATGACTTCTTCGTGAATGAACGTAAATGCTTTTGTCAAGATTTCATCGTGAATGAACGTAAATGCTTTTGTCAAGATTTCATCGTTTATGATTTGTCAAGATTTCATCGTTTATGATTTGTCATGATTTCATCGTGAATGAACGTAAATGCTTTTGTCAAGATTTCATCGTTTATGATTTGTCAAGACTTTGTCATGACTTCTTCGTGAATGCTTTTGTCATGATTTCATCGTTTATGATTTGTCATGATTTCATCGTTTATGATTTGTCAAGATTTCTTCGTGAATGCTTTGTCAAGACTTTGTCAAGATTTCATCGTGAATGCTTTGTCAAGACTTTGTCAAGATTTCATCGTAAATGCTTTTGTCATGACTTCTTCGTGAATGAACGTGAATGCTTTTGTCAAGATTTCATCGTTTATGATTTGTCATGACTTCTTCGTAAATGCTTTTGTCAAGACTTTGTCATGACTTCTTCGTTTATGATTTGTCATGATTTCATCGTGAATGAACGTAAATGCTTTTGTCATGATTTCATCGTGAATGAACGTGAATGCTTTTGTCATGATTTCATCGTTTATGATTTGTCATGACTTCTTCGTTTATGATTTGTCATGATTTCATCGTGAATGAACGTAAATGCTTTTGTCAAGATTTCATCGTGAATGCTTTGTCAAGACTTTGTCAAGATTTCATCGTGAATGCTTTGTCAAGACTTTGTCATGACTTCTTCGTAAATGCTTTTGTCATGATTTCATCGTGAATGCTTTGTCAAGACTTTGTCATGATTTCATCGTAAATGCTTTTGTCATGATTTCATCGTGAATGCTTTGTCAAGACTTTGCCAAGATTTCATCGTTTATGATTTGTCAAGATTTCATCGTGAATGCTTTGTCAAGACTTTGTCAAGATTTCATCGTTTATGATTTGTCATGATTTCATCGTGAATGATTTGTCATGATTTCATCGTGAATGATTTGTCATGATTTCATCGTTTATGATTTGTCAAGATTTCATCGTTTATGATTTGTCATGATTTCATCGTTTATGATTTGTCATGATTTCATCGTGAATGATTTGTCATGATTTCATCGTGAATGATTTGTCATGATTTCATCGTTTATGATTTGTCATGACTTCATCGTTTATGATTTGTCATGATTTCATCGTGAATGCTTTGTCAAGACTTTGTCATGACTTCTTCGTAAATGCTTTTGTCATGATTTCATCGTAATGAACGTAAATGCTTTTGTCAAGATTTCATCGTGAATGCTTTTGTCATGACTTTGTCATGATTTCATCGTTTATGATTTGTCATGATTTCATCGTTTATGATTTGTCATGATTTCATCGTGAATGATTTGTCATGACTTCATCGTTTATGATTTGTCATGATTTCATCGTGAATGAACGTAAATGCTTTTGTCAAGATTTCATCGTTTATGATTTGTCAAGATTTCATCGTTTATGATTTGTCATGATTTCATCGTGAATGATTTGTCATGATTTCATCGTGAATGCTTTTGTCATGATTTCATCGTTTATGATTTGTCAAGATTTCATCGTAATGAACGTAAATGCTTTTGTCATGATTTCATCGTGAATGCTTTGTCAAGACTTTGTCATGATTTCATCGTAAATGCTTTTGTCATGATTTCATCGTTTATGATTTGTCAAGACTTTGTCAAGATTTCATCGTAAATGCTTTTGTCATGATTTCATCGTGAATGAACGTAAATGCTTTTGTCATGATTTCATCGTGAATGAACGTAAATGCTTTTGTCAAGATTTCATCGTTTATGATTTGTCAAGATTTCATCGTTTATGATTTGTCATGATTTCATCGTGAATGATTTGTCATGATTTCATCGTGAATGCTTTTGTCATGACTTCATCGTTTATGATTTGTCATGATTTCATCGTAATGAACGTAAATGCTTTTGTCATGATTTCATCGTTTATGATTTGTCATGATTTCATCGTTTATGATTTGTCATGATTTCATCGTGAATGATTTGTCATGATTTCATCGTGAATGATTTGTCATGATTTCATCGTTTATGATTTGTCATGATTTCATCGTTTATGATTTGTCATGATTTCATCGTTTATGATTTGTCATGATTTCATCGTTTATGATTTGTCAAGATTTCATCGTTTATGATTTGTCATGATTTCATCGTTTATGATTTGTCAAGATTTCATCGTTTATGATTTGTCATGATTTCATCGTTTATGATTTGTCATGATTTCATCGTGAATGAACGTAAATGCTTTTGTCATGACTTCATCGTTTATGATTTGTCAAGATTTCATCGTTTATGATTTGTCATGATTTCATCGTTTATGATTTGTCATGATTTCATCGTGAATGATTTGTCATGATTTCATCGTTTATGATTTGTCATGATTTCATCGTTTATGATTTGTCATGATTTCATCGTGAATGCTTTTGTCATGATTTCATCGTGAATGAACGTGAATGCTTTTGTCATGATTTCATCGTTTATGATTTGTCAAGATTTCATCGTTTATGATTTGTCAAGATTTCATCGTGAATGCTTTGTCAAGACTTTGTCATGACTTCTTCGTAAATGCTTTTGTCATGATTTCATCGTGAATGAACGTAAATGCTTTTGTCATGACTTCATCGTTTATGATTTGTCATGATTTCTTCATCGTAATGAACGTAAATGAACCAAAAATATATTTTAGGGTAGAAGGTGAGATCTCACCTGTTTTTTCACCTGTTTTTTCACCCGTTGAATTTGTCAAGATTTCATCGTGAATGAACGTAAATGCTTTTGTCATGATTTCTTCATCGTAATGAGTGTAAATGATCCAAAAATAATGTTTATGTTAGAATGTTAGATCTAACACCTTTTCTAACATGTTTTCTAACATGTTTTGTCAAGAATATAACAACCGTCTGAATTCCGGCGGTTGCTTTTTATACAAAATTCACACAGGAAAATTCTTGAGTTTTGGTTGAAAGAATACGGTCGAGCCAAAAGTGGCTCAACCTCAAAACAAACATTTTATGAGCTTACTAAGGGCGTTATGAATGAATTCAAAGGTATTTGCATACATCCTGACCTCGTTCATTTTGTTGCTGAATGGTGCTCTGTAAAGTATGCATTTTATGTCAAAGATATTATGGACTCCATAGACAAGAAAGTTCATGAGAAGTTAGATGAAGAAGAACTCGAAGATACAGTGGAGAATGCTAAACCTTTGTTCGAAGAAGAAGTTGGAAAAATGTGTGAAAAACAATTAGAACATGAACGTGAGATATATTATGGTTATAGAGATTCTCCATACGAACTAGACCAATGGGAACAAGAAGATTTAAAGAGAGAATTTAGAGAATATGAACTCGCTAAGATAGCATTTGAAGCTGCAGAAAAGAAGTTAAAAGTTTGGGGTCGTTTTGTACAAAAATATTGTGAGTAAATGAACCATTTATTTTTGTCATAAACGACCAAAAATATATTTTATCGTTAATGTTTACGTTAATGGTTTCAGGTTATTCAATAATTAATTATTTTTGAATAACTGAAGGTGCTACCATGTTACCATGTGCTACCAGGTCATTTAACTTCTCTGAAAAATGATGACAACATGACATTTTGACAACAGTTCAGGAAATATATTTTATCGTTAATGTTTACGTTAATGGTTTCAGGTTATTCAATAATTAATTATTTTTGAATAACTGAAGGTGCTACCATGTTACCATGTGCTACCAGGTCATTTAACTTCTCTGAAAAATGATGACAACATGACATTTTGACAACAGTTCAGGAAATATATTTCATCGTTTATGATTTGTCAAGACTTTGTCATGATTTCTTCGTAAATGCTTTTGTCATGACTTCTTCGTGAATGCTTTGTCAAGACTTTGTCAAGATTTCATCGTGAATGCTTTGTCAAGACTTTGTCATGACTTCTTCGTAAATGCTTTTGTCATGACTTCTTCGTAAATGCTTTTGTCATGATTTCATCGTTTATGATTTGTCAAGACTTTGTCATGATTTCATCGTGAATGAACGTAAATGCTTTTGTCATGATTTCATCGTGAATGCTTTGTCAAGACTTTGTCAAGATTTCATCGTAATGAGCGTAAATGATCCAAAAATAATGTTTAGGTGAAGAGGTGAGATCTCACCTCTTTTCTCACCTCTTTTCTCACCTCAGCCGCTAAGCGGCGAGACCCAAAGGGTCTTGAATTTTCATGATTTCATCGTTTATGATTTGTCAAGACTTTGTCATGATTTCATCGTTTATGATTTGTCAAGACTTTGTCATGATTTCTTCGTAAATGCTTTTGTCATGATTTCATCGTAAATGCTTTTGTCATGATTTCATCGTTTATGATTTGTCAAGACTTTGTCATGATTTCATCGTTTATGATTTGTCAAGACTTTGTCATGATTTCATCGTTTATGATTTGTCAAGACTTTGTCATGATTTCTTCGTAAATGCTTTTGTCATGATTTCATCGTGAATGAACGTGAATGCTTTTGTCATGATTTCATCGTGAATGCTTTGTCAAGACTTTGTCATGACTTCTTCGTAAATGCTTTTGTCATGACTTCTTCGTAAATGCTTTTGTCATGATTTCATCGTTTATGATTTGTCAAGACTTTGTCATGATTTCATCGTGAATGAACGTGAATGCTTTTGTCAAGACTTTGTCATGATTTCATCGTGAATGCTTTGTCAAGACTTTGTCATGATTTCATCGTGAATGAACGTGAATGCTTTGTCAAGATTTCATCGTGAATGCTTTGTCAAGATTTCATCGTAATCGTGAATGCTTTTGTCAAGATTTCATCGTTTATGATTTGTCAAGATTTCATCGTTTATGATTTGTCAAGATTTCATCGTGAATGCTTTTGTCAAGACTTTGTCATGATTTCATCGTAAATGCTTTTGTCATGATTTCATCGTTTATGATTTGTCAAGACTTTGTCAAGATTTCATCGTAAATGCTTTTGTCATGATTTTCATCGTGAATGCTTTGTCAAGACTTTGTCATGATTTCATCGTAAATGCTTTTGTCATGATTTCATCGTTTATGATTTGTCAAAACTTTGTCAAGATTTCATCGTAAATGCTTTTGTCATGATTTCATCGTTTATGATTTGTCAAGACTTTGTCAAGATTTCATCGTAATGAGCGTAAATGATCCAAAAATAATGTTTAGGTGAAGAGGTGAGATCTCACCTCTTTTCTCACCTCTTTTCTCACCTCAGCCGCTAAGCGGCGAGACCCAAAGGGTCTATGATTTTCATGATTTTCATCGTTTATGATTTGTCAAGACTTTGTTCATGATTTCATCGTTTATGATTTGTCAAGACTTTGTCATGATTTCTTCGTAAATGCTTTTGTCATGATTTCATCGTAATGAGCGTAAATGACCCAAAAATAATGTTTATGTTAGAATGTTAGATCTAACACCTTTTCTAACATGTTTTCTAACATGGAGGATTTCATCTGATATACACATTCTTCCTCCATTTCATTCTATACACAATTTACATCATAGACGATTTAATAGATATAATACTTTACTGTTTCATTAGATATACACATTCTTCCCTAAACATTATTTTAGTTAAAGTCCATCAAATATTTTTAGGATACTTTCACCAAATAATATTTATATCTAATGAAATCCTTCATTTCATTCTATACACAATTTACATCATAGACGATTTAATAGATATAATACTTTACTGTTTCATCTGATATAAACATTCTTCCCTAAACATTATTTTAGTTAAAGTCCATCAAATATTTTTAGGATACTTTCACCAAATAATATTTATATCAGATGAAATCCTCCATGTTAGAAAACATGTTAGAAAAGGTGTTAGATCTAACATTCTAACATAAACATTATTTTTGGGTCATTTACGCTCATTACGATGAAATCATGACAAAAGCATTTACGAAGAAATCATGACAAAGTCTTGACAAATCATAAACGATGAAATCATGACAAAGTCTTGACAAATCATAAACGATGAAATCATGAAAATTCAAGACCCTTTGGGTCTCGCCGCTTAGCGGCTGAGGTGAGAAAAGAGGTGAGAAAAGAGGTGAGATCTCACCTCTTCACCTAAACATTATTTTTGGATCATTTACGCTCATTACGATGAAATCTTGACAAAGTCTTGACAAATCATAAACGATGAAATCATGACAAAAGCATTTACGATGAAATCTTGACAAAGTTTTGACAAATCATAAACGATGAAATCATGACAAAAGCATTTACGATGAAATCATGACAAAGTCTTGACAAAGCATTCACGATGAAATCATGACAAAAGCATTTACGATGAAATCTTGACAAAGTCTTGACAAATCATAAACGATGAAATCATGACAAAAGCATTTACGATGAAATCATGACAAAGTCTTGACAAAGCATTCACGATGAAATCTTGACAAATCATAAACGATGAAATCTTGACAAATCATAAACGATGAAATCTTGACAAAAGCATTCACGATGAAATCTTGACAAAGCATTCACGATGAAATCTTGACAAAAGCATTCACGTTCATTCACGATGAAATCATGACAAAGTCTTGACAAAGCATTCACGATGAAATCATGACAAAGTCTTGACAAAAGCATTCACGTTCATTCACGATGAAATCATGACAAAGTCTTGACAAATCATAAACGATGAAATCATGACAAAAGCATTTACGAAGAAGTCATGACAAAAGCATTTACGAAGAAGTCATGACAAGTCTTGACAAAGCATTCACGATGAAATCATGACAAAAGCATTCACGTTCATTCACGATGAAATCATGACAAAAGCATTTACGAAGAAATCATGACAAAGTCTTGACAAATCATAAACGATGAAATCATGACAAAGTCTTGACAAATCATAACGATGAAATCATGACAAAGTCTTGACAAATCATAAACGATGAAATCATGACAAAAGCATTTACGATGAAATCATGACAAAAGCATTTACGAAGAAATCATGACAAAGTCTTGACAAATCATAAACGATGAAATCATGACAAAGTCTTGACAAATCATAAACGATGAAATCATGAAAATTCAAGACCCTTTGGTCTCGCCGCTTAGCGGCTGAGGTGAGAAAGAGGTGAGAAAAGAGGTGAGATCTCACCTCTTCACCTAAACATTATTTTTGGATCATTTACGCTCATTACGATGAAATCTTGACAAAGTCTTGACAAAGCATTCACGATGAAATCATGACAAAAGCATTTACGTTCATTCACGATGAAATCATGACAAAGTCTTGACAAATCATAAACGATGAAATCATGACAAAAGCATTTACGATGAAATCATGACAAAGTCTTGACAAAGCATTCACGATGAAATCATGACAAAAGCATTTACGATGAAATCTTGACAAAGTCTTGACAAATCATAAACGATGAAATCATGACAAAAGCATTTACGATGAAATCATGACAAAGTCTTGACAAAGCATTCACGATGAAATCTTGACAAATCATAAACGATGAAATCTTGACAAATCATAAACGATGAAATCTTGACAAAAGCATTCACGATGAAATCTTGACAAAGCATTCACGATGAAATCTTGACAAAAGCATTCACGTTCATTCACGATGAAATCATGACAAAGTCTTGACAAAGCATTCACGATGAAATCATGACAAAGTCTTGACAAAAGCATTCACGTTCATTCACGATTGAAATCATGACAAAGTCTTGACAAATCATAAACGATGAAATCATGACAAAAGCATTTACGAAGAAGTCATGACAAAAGCATTTACGAAGAAGTCATGACAAAGTCTTGACAAAGCATTCACGATGAAATCATGACAAAAGCATTCACGTTCATTCACGATGAAATCATGACAAAAGCATTTACGAAGAAATCATGACAAAGTCTTGACAAATCATAAACGATGAAATCATGACAAAGTCTTGACAAATCATAAACGATGAAATCATGACAAAGTCTTGACAAATCATAAACGATGAAATCATGACAAAAGCATTTACGATGAAACATGACAAAAGCATTTACGAAGAAATCATGACAAAGTCTTGACAAATCATAAACGATGAAATCATGACAAAGTCTTGACAAATCATAAACGATGAAATCATGAAAATTCAAGACCCTTTGGGTCTCGCGCTTAGCGGCTGAGGTGAGAAAAGAGGTGAGAAAAGAGGTGAGATCTCACCTCTTCACCTAAACATTATTTTTGGATCATTTACGCTCATTACGATGAAATCTTGACAAAGTCTTGACAAAGCATTCACGATGAAATCATGACAAAAAGCATTTACGTTCATTCACGATGAAATCATGACAAAGTCTTGACAAATCATAAACGATGAAATCATGACAAAAGCATTTACGAAGAAGTCATGACAAAAGCATTACGAAGAAGTCATGACAAAG